GTCAGTAGTGGTCGTACAGTGTCAATGCCAACTGATATCGAATCATAACGATATACTACATGTATTTTTGACGCATTTGCATACAAGATAAATTGTTGATTGACTGATAGACACGATACTAGATTAAAATAACAAGTAGAGCTCGTCGTTTCAAACCAATTGCAAACTAAAAACTTTAATATCGACTATGACCACAAAAGTCGACCAAATGACTTGGTATGCACCACATATATGTAATTATGTGTTGCGGATCGAATTATGATGTCATTGACGCACTATGGTTAATATCTGACATGGAATGGGCCGACCAAAGTCCGAAAATGACGTTTTGGCGTGTTTGATGTCGTATATCGTCGTCAATAGTGACACTAGTTGCATGAAACTGCTACAGTATATGCACATGGCATTGGTATGTACAATGCATGCATGTGTTGACATGCGATACATGTAAAAAATACAACTTGCACATAGCACGAATATTTGACATGAAACTGGAAATGCGTGTATCTCGATGAATAATGACACTACATGCATGCGATTGATACTGGACATGTATGTATATACATACTATATATTGGACATGCATCATGGCATGTTGTCAACTAAACTAACAACATGTTATAGTCACGACTGTCGACCGAATTGGACACGTCGGTATACACTCAAAACACGACTTATTGCGCTGTGGTTTGGACTGTATACATATCATGTATATATATTACAATGGTCAATATATCAATACGATAGCATCAATATTGACAAAGTTGGATATATTGTCCGAATATCAGACATGGTATCCTGTCCGAATGTCCGGATAATATCAGACACGAGTGGTTAGTATGACGTTTGGAGTGTCCGAATGCGGATATATTAATGCAGCGGTCAATTATGGTGATGATCAGCATACGTATGCAACGGATTACGGCTCAATTGCCGGGTTTTTTTGTACGAATATTGGGTGGTGATGCAAATGCAGCCATATGCCTATACAGTACTGCATTGGTTGACTCGATGACATGTATATACACATTACAATATGGTAACAATATGGTAACAATACAGAGTTACAATGGCTGTTGTATAGGGTCAAAATAAACGGTTGAATAGTATTGAAATACGACACAAAATCATGCAAAAAAACAACGCATTGTGGGGTAATGACACACTCATGATACACTGTATGATGGTGGTCGGATCACTGTGATATTGGACAGTAACATGCATACATGTTGTATACACAACCAGTTGAAATATGGATACAATCCGAGTGTTACTGATGGGACTACAAATGATTGCAATAAAATTGTAATGATCAAGCGTAATTGAACATGTACAAAACGCACGTCCCACACATGGACAACACACTGCAATTCAATGGCACAGTACATGATGACGATGCAAGCGATATGTAAGTATATGTATATGGATATGGAGGTACGATGATTGCGGATACAATGGTGTACAGATCAACAGTGAATGGAGCACAAACAACAATGGAGCATGGACATTATAATGCGTACAAAAAGATGATCACTACAGCAACACACACTAGATACAGTTTTGATGACAGGATGGTAATACAGCAATCAAACCGGCAGTATGCGATACAGTATAACGTATAGCATTGTATAAAGTGATGATGAATGGCCATTGATTGATATTGGTGACGAATACAGACAGGAATGTATGGTCATGGCACGACGATAATTGACATGTAAAACGGCCAAGTAATATTGAATTGCCGAGACGTTACCAAAGCAATGTTTTTCAACAAACCATTTGGCATAATCAGAAAAATAACGAGACTTAAACAGGGTCATTTATTCAGTGTGGAAGGATCCAAGAACCGGATATCTGTGAGAGCACAACCCGATGAAATAACTCGGCGGGCAGAACAGATCGGTGCAGCACACATTGATAGGCTTTTGATAGCTAGCCAATTGTAATTATCACTTGGAACGTCCCCGCCGTATTTGTTGATATGGAGGGAGCAGCGTTTGTCGGAGCAATCCGTCGGGTAATTATTAATTGGTGCTCATTGATGGGTTAGCACTATGTGGTTTTTGGTTTCCACCCCGAAGCTATGCACAATGGTAGATTTGGGTGACTCGGAATATAATGGCTAAATTATAGTGATGATAATGGCACTACTGACAGCGATGACAGTATTCGGCACGACCATATCTGTTACTATAATGCTTTTTGATATGAATCAGCAGTTTTTTGAACGGCATATTGGGCCCGACAGGGTGATTTGATGACCTACACAACCGAGATTAGCACGGAATGCGTGAAGCAAAACCGAATTGATTAGGAAGTGTACAGAACCAGATGAACCAATGGCTTGAAAAAGCAAATGTTGATGTTTAGGATGTGATGTGGTTGCATATTTGGATTTTTGATTTTTGATTTGGGTTTTTTGATCCGAATTTTTTGATCTTGATTTGGATATGCAATTACTACAATGTGGATACCGTGAATGTGTATTGAACAGTTGGACAAGATGGATTGGGACAACTAGCGAGGTTTAAATCTTAGTAGTACCAATTATTATATATGGAGTAATGATTTGACTGGGCCAATTTGGATTTGGATTAGATTTGTGGATTTTGAATTTTCGGATTTTCGGATTCGGATTCATAATTTTAAATTGAATTTGATTTGGATTTGGATTGTATTTGGATTGGGTTTAAATTTGATTCTAATTGAATTTGATTCAATACCAAATAGCTTGGTACAATGATTACAGTGCACACCATATATGATGATTACCGCGAAAAATACCAGCGCAATTGTTTCAAACCAGTGGGTTCCATGTAGGAACCAACCGATTCAACTGAACACTACACAAATGGGGTAAACACATGGTAGACACATGACGAATAAACATTAATGTAAGCGATTTTGAGTGATTGGAACAAAAGGTGATGTGCACGACGTAAACAAGACGGCAAAGCAACACAAGAACCGTGATGATCAAGGGGAAAATGGTATTCGAAACACAATGTTGGGGTTGATATGTTGAACGAGGGACTGCGACAGTGGAGTATTGTCATTTGATGACAAATGTCCACTTGGGAATGATACAATTGGGTATTGTTTCCACAAACGGGCAAGCCAAACATGGTAACACATGGTTGGTGAGTTGCGTTTGGAATGGACGGCGTTGTTGTACTTGGTACAATGACAATGTCCACTTGGGAATGATACAATTGGGTATCGTTTCCTCAGACGCGGCAAGCCAA